TCCATCTTAGCAAATAAGCTAAGAACCCAATGTCAGTCAGGTTTGGAGGAGGGTCATTAACCACCTGTGACAGTGGTTCGTTCTGAACGTGAGAGGACTCGAAGCACTTGCTGACAGAGACCAAAGACTGCAGCCGTCAGTGTGAAGGAGGCCAAGTCCGCACAGCGGGGCCAGTTGACACGCAACAGGATGGAAGTGAGAAGGATTTAATGTCATTGAATCTGCAGTCAGTGCTTGTGGAAGCAGCAGTCACTTCAGACAACATATTAGACTAGGGACACCCTGCTGTACAAAACCTCTTTAAAGGGCTACAGAACAGATGAAGGCTAGTGTACACCTACCCCCCCCCCAAACAAACAAACATACAAATACACCTCACTGCCATCGAGTCAGTGCTGACTCATGGCGCCCCCTGTGGGTTTCTGAGACTGTTTATGGGAGTAGAAAGCATCTTTCTCCCATGGAGCTGCTGGTGGTTTCAAACTGCCGACCATGTGGATCACAGCCCAGTAAATAACCACTACACCACCACCCGAGCTATGGTATTTTCAGTTGTCTTCTATGCATGTGAAAGCTGGACAGGAGAAGAGCTGATCACTTTGAGTTACGGCTGGCAGACTGTCTGGGAGGAAGTGTCGTCAGAATGCCCCAGCAATCGAGGACGGGGGACTTCGAGTCATGCACTTTGGACATCCCTGGAAAGTGACATCATGCTTGCCGCAGCAAAAGGAGGAGGACCGTCAGTGAGGTGGGCTGCCACGGCGGCTGGCATGGTGGCTGGCACGGCGGGCTCAAGTCTGGCCGTGGGGACTGGGCAGTGCTTCCTTCTTTTGTGCACAGAACCGCCTTGAGCCAGAGCTGACGTGACCCCACCTCACGTAGGCTGTGAACGAAGCCCCGGCAGTGCAGTGGCTGAGGGCTGCCCCGTCAGACCCAGGAGGACACACCCTCGGGGCCTGGGACAGCCCTGTTCTGGGGAGTCCACTCGACCCTGCAGCCACAGCCCTGCCACAGGAGAAGCTTTAGGGGAAGAACTGGCCACATGTGAGCGTGGAGGTGTGGGGTGTGGGGGTTGTGGACAAGCAGTGCCCATGGCTGAGAGTGGTGGTCCTTGTGGGCAGCTGTGAAGTGGGGGATTTTGGCGTGCCTGAGGTGGTTCACCCCAGACCAGCAAATGCCATTTTTAAAATGCTAGTATGTGTACCCTGAAATGACACCCACGGTCAGCCTGTCTCCCCCGCTCCCTGGACCTGCTTCCACGAGGCTTATAGCCCATGGTCTGGTGTATAAGACGGGCAGACACTGAACCACAGATCTGATGGAACTCCTGCCCGCCTGCCTGCTTAGCCCAGAGCAGTCCCAGAGGTCAGTGTGGTGGCCCAGGAAGGGACCTCCAGAGGGGGTTCCTGAAGAGCTGAGGTGCCAGGGATTTCCGTGGCCCTAACGGGTGGGGTTACCACGGGTGGGATGGAGAGGTGGGCACCATAGAAGGGCTAACCTGAGGGCTGCAGAGGGAATCACAGGTCTAGCCCAGCCAGCAGGGGGTGCCCCCCGTGCTGCCCCCAGAGTCACTTGGAGGCCGAGTGTGTGTGCTTTCTGAGTCAAGACCCGGCATGCATGGTGTGGTGTGTCCTGAACATGTGGTTGTGTTAGGTAGCTTAGCATAGGGACTGGGGCATCCACTATGAAGGAGTGGTGCACTGCTCAGAGGTTCAAGCTTCTGGCCAGAAAAGGGTGGCACAGCTAGGTGGCATCACACCTGGATTGGCCTATCTGGGCTAGGTGAATTCAATTCAGCCAGTGGGGCCAACCAGGATCATCAACCACGCCTCCCGGCAGAGGAATTGAAAAGGCAGGATCCCGGAGCCACCTTGTGACTTTCTAGAGCAGCCTCTCGGCAGGCTGTATTGGGGGAGGGAGGGGGGTAGCCTGAGGAGGGTGCCTGTGTAAACCTGAAGCTTCTAACTCTCATAAAACTCACTTGGATCACAATACCGGCTTCGGAGTAGATTCTTTCTCCTGTGAAGCCAAGGACCGAGCAGAGATCTAACAGTTGCTGGGCCGAGAGACCTGGGTGCTGGAAACGGCATGGCCCAGCCTGGGACCATGGGTCCTGCTGCCTCTGGTCACCTCTGAAATGTTTCTCTAGAGCAGCGGTTCTCAACCTTCCCAATGCCATGACCTTTTCATACAGTTCCTCATGTGGTGGTGACCCCCCAACCTTACAGTTATTTTCGTTGCTACTTCATAACTGTCATTTTGCTACTGTTATGAATCGGGTGACCCCTGTGAAAGGGTCATTCAACTCCCAAAGGGGTCACGACCCACAGGTTGAGAACCACTGCTGTAGAGCATGTCTTTGTAAACTAGTTTCAGACTTATCCTATGTAACCTTTAATCTCTCTGCCATCGAGTCAGTGCTGACTCACAGCTTCCCTGTGGGTTTCCGGACTATCTGTGGGAGTAGAAAGCCCAGCATTTCTCCCGAAGAGCTGCTGGTGGTTTTGAACTGCTGACCATGCGAATCACAGGCCAACAAGTACACTGCCGGTAGATGCCTCCAAATGCAGTGTGATGAGGCCGTCAGTTCGTGCACCAGATGAAAAAAGGTTGGCTTCCGTTGGTGATGGACAGCCCTGCACCCGTGAGGCGTGTCCTACGGCCTGCGGGGCCACTGCGGTGGAATGGGCTCAGGGCAGTGGGTGTCTTGGTTGGTTGATTGGTTGGTTGGTTGTTTTGGTTAATGAGCTCTATGATCAGTCTGGGAACCAGGTCCCAACACCTGTCCTTATTTCCCACCCCTACCCCCCGTAAATAGTTAACTATGTCTTGGCTGTAATTATTACCTGGTTTCTATGGGGACTGACGTCAGCCCTCCCTGCCCTGCAAACCCCAGGAATGTGTCTGCCTCCCCTGACCCTTGACTGCCCTGCCCCGCCCCACCCCGCCCTGCCCCACCCCAGGAGATGGCTGGCTGCCAGCTCCCTGTGTCCTGTCCCCAGAGTCCTCCAGTACTGCTGCCTCCAGGGCTCTCCCTGTCTCCTCACGATGTCCTTCTTCAGGGACTGGTCCCACCTGACAGGACGTCCAAAATGTGGGAGATGAAGGCTTGCCATTCTGGCTTCTAGGAGCGCTCCGGCTGTCTTTCTCTCAGACCAAGTAGTTTGCTCGCCCTGACAGCCCACGGCACTCTGCCTAGTCCTTGCCGGCCCCAGAGTTCAAACGGCCTCCTTCCTCTCTCCTCCTGCAGCTTTTACGTTCTAAATGTCCCGGCGTGGGTCAGAGGGACCCTGTGCTTGTTAGCTAGCACGGGGTCTGCTGTTTGACTTCCAGAGGTGTAAAGCGTAGGGTTCCAACACCGTGCTTGAAGAGCTGTAATTCAGCCTGTCACTTCTCCCAAAGTGGTCCCTTAGCCTCTGGTCCAGGTGCAGGGAGACCAAGGGGGGCTTCAGGGTGGCTGCCGAAGGGGAGAAGCTGGCATCACAAACAGTGGCTCTGAGACAGGACAGGAGCTAAGAGGGGTGTGGGCACCTGCTCGTCTTCTATGGATGCCCTGGGGCCGCTCATCTGGGGGCCCCTTGGCTGGGGTGCAGCGCTGTGTGAGGGATGGTGGGCGGTGCCTTGTGAGGGAATAGGGGCTGTGACTGCCCTGTCTACAGGAGAACAGGTGCTGTTTTACAAATGAGGTTGAGGATGGATGTGACACGAACCCCCCAATGCAGAAAATGGTGTATAGTTTGCTTGCATAAGTACAAAAAACAGGTAGAGCACACTCTAGAAATAGGTTCTCTGGCCTCGGCGGAGAAGCATGCCATCACGGTCAGTAGTGGCTGTCCCAGTTCTGGCTCTGTCCGATTCCCCAGGACCCCTCCCACCCTCACCCCACCCCGACTCTTCTGACATGAGTGGTAGTTGAGGGAGCCCAGCCCAAACCAGGAAGGAGGCCTGGTGGCTTGGTGGGTATGTGTTGGACTGCTAGCCTTAAGGTCAGCAGTTCAAAACCAGCTGCTCCTCAGAGAAAGAGGGACAGTAGAGTGACCGTCTCATAAGCTCACGGGGCAGTGCTCCTCTGTCCAGTAGGGTTGCTGAGTCGGACTCCACAGCGGGGAGTGGGGTTGCTTTGGGTTAACCCACACCGACCTCTCCTCCCACGACTCCTGCCTCCAACTCCCAGTGGCCCTGAAGACGACGACTGCAGGGGAGCAGACAGCCTCGGCTTCCTCCCAAGGATGCTTGACTGGTGGCTGAGCCTTCAGCCCTGAGGGGCTGCCCACCCCCCAGACCCTGGCGAGGTAGCCAGCCTGCCTGCTCACAGTTTCAGGGAGTGTGGTACCCAGCCTGCAGTTTCAGGGGGATTGTTGTCCTGGAATGTTTTGTGATGTGTGCGCAGGCATGCATACTGAAGGGAAGCACAGTGAAGCCAGGGATGTGCACACCCACGGGGCTTCAGAAATTCCCTTACCTTTTAGTTGTGATTTTCCATGAGAGAGCATGTCAGAGCCCTCATGCGTGCAAGATGACATGAGGTGGCGGTCACAACTGGGTGCTTGTCTGGGGTGTGACTGCTCTCGGGAGGGTGGTGGCCTTGGGGACAGGATTTTCTGAATTGGGGAGTAACTTAATGAGGTCTCTGGCATACCTAAGCACAGTCCTCTCAGCTTACCTGGTCATTTTGCCCAGGAAAGACGCGTGGGATATTACAAGTACAGAAGCCATTCCTTGGTTCCACATATGGACTTTCAGGTCCCGATCACCGTAACTGGAGGGGCTCCTGCCCATTTCAGGACCAGACCCGGCTCCTGGTGCTGCAGTTCCCCCCAGTGGTCGTGATGGCCAGACGTCTCCAAACAGTCCAGTGGCCCAGCGGCACTGCTCCTGTGAGACTGCTGCTTGAGGGTCTTCCTGGTGAAAGCTAGTTACTTACTCTCACTGGCCATGTAGATGGTGGGGTATAAATGCTTTTCTGTAAGTCTAATTCCTGCGTTTGTTGTTTTTTTCAGGGACATGGACACCATTTAATCCAGTGACTGTTAGGTCAATCATATGTAAGTAGTGCTATTTTGCCGTTTGGCACTCTGTCTGTCTGTCCTGACTAGATGTCGGTTGTGCATTCTGTGTTTGTGGCTTCATGTCTTTTGTCCCCCCACCCCAGTCTCACCTTCCTTGTTACGTAGATGTGCCTTTATTCACTCTTCATCTGTTGAGCCCGTCCTTCCCACCTCTGGTTCCGGAGATGATGTTGGTTCCTAAGTGGTTTGAACTTTGACCTGGTTATTTGTATAGTTTTGTGTGTTGTGCTTATGGTAAGGATTTGAAGAACGTTGGAGGGAGGAGGTGGGGTGGGGGTTCCAGAGCCCGCGGCTGTGCCTACTAGGACACACGGTGCTGATCTCCCCGAGGTCTTGCTCAGGCCCTGTGGGATTGGCCTCTGTGCGTGCAGGTCCCGGGCCTTTGTTCCCATGGCCTGAGCTGCAGGCTGTCTTTGGTCTCTGGCTTTCCAGGCACCCTGGCATTGAGCTCCGGGTCCCGGGAGGCTGTACCATTAGTCCTCCTGCCCGGGGGTCTGGAAGATGTCCTTAGCTGCACAGTGTATGTCTATTTCTCATGGGTCCTTCCAAAGAGGGAGGTCCCTTCAGGGACCCTTCACAGAGATCCTACTTCAGTCTTCCCTCTTCACAGGGAACGAGACTCGGTCTCCATGACTGTGGCCCTCAGTGTGACTCTGTGCCCATTGCTGTGGTCCCCAGTGTGACTCT